AACTAACAAGAGCGTCTCAAATGATGATACCGAAAGCAGGCTGCATTGGCGTACACAAGTTGGGCGCGCCCACCTTGTGATAGCTGAGGTGAAGCAGAGCATACCTTCCTTTCTCCACATTGAAGACTTACCAATCCTCGGCATTGGTGAGTCTACACGTGATGCAAAGCCACTCCCAAGAATTTTGTAAACCATGTTTTATTGATGGGCGGCGTGACAAATGTGCGCTGCAACTGCAGTACACGTGTGACAGGCAAATACATCCAATTGCAGTTTTCTTGAAAACAACTCAACAGCAACAGTTTACCAAATATTTACTAAGGCTATTGCATTCACATTTCTTCCTCCTTGTGATGTTTATTTGAACTGTCAGAAAGTGCAAGGATGATAGGGATGCAAGAGTAATGTCGCATGACATGATATGTGGTAAGCAAGATGGAATATTCAATTTGGTTAACGTTTCGCCTCACCAAAACCTGGTGACAATTGGTTAAGAAAGATTGTGTTGTGGTTAATCAAGAAATAGTCACTTGAAACAGTGATTGAACTTGGGTGAGTGCCCTTTGCCCTACCATATATTAATGAGCACCCACTGTGCAATTCTAAGCAGTAGACGCATTATCAATTCAAATGGGCATCGTAAGCTCCAGTGCGAGTTGCATTCCTATTTCGGTGTATAAGTTGCAGTGAGCTACTAGGACCATTTGCACATTTGGTGGGCAGAGAGATTTATGAATGAATGCGGCCCCATGGGTGTGGTAGTTGAAGTGGATAGGCGTTGATGGGTGTTGCCTCATTGCATTCTGTTGAATTAATCTTCTCTCTTTTGAGGCGGGTACTGACGCAGGCCGCCTCACGGGATTGCGGTGTACTGGATATCAGTGTTTGCCAAAGGGTCGGTGCTCCACTGGGGGGATTTCTTTGGGATTCAAATTTTTCCGTTTCTCCATTGTCATGGCTAGACCTACTCTACTGAAGTTAATGATGTCAAAAAATGGCCGGGCCTAAGGTACATGAGGAAAATTGCGAATGCCTTAGAGATTGGGGTAGAAACTTTAAGACAAATTTGGGAAGTTTTAGATGTGAAGTAAAAGCAAGAGTGGGGAACAATTCACCTCAACTCGTTAATCCAGTAGAACGAGTTCAATATTTGCTCCAAAGCATCAACCAATGACCTTTTTGTCCGCAAATCAGCGTGAAAACAGAGGTAATTTCTCAGCCGATGAATCATTTGGATTAGCCGGGGTCTCCATACTGCGTCCTTGTGAACGACCAGTGCAAATGCAACGCCCATGTCGAAACCCTTTTATCTACAATTGTGCATTTCTGGCGTAAACTTGGTTGAAGTGGTGAATAGATAGTGAGTAAATAGCTCTAATCTGCTGCCAATTCTTCGCCAATGTCTGATACTCTCTTGATCTTGTCAATAATGAGAAGAATAAAAGTGGCAGTTATCAAAAGAATAGCTGTCCCCCAAATATTTGCGCTCCAGTAACAAATGCCTATAGTAATCTCTACAAGTGGACGAATGTCAATTAAAAATACCACCCAAAAATGCCCCTTGAATTTTTGTGCAATATTAGATTAAAGGTAAATGCTGGAAGCGATGAATTTCCTTACCTGAGAATTTCCTAAGTGACAGCAGCCAAGCATGCAGGAATACTCATGGCATCAAACAGCTGCATTTATGAAAAGCCTCCCAACTGCTTGAGGGAATTTGCATGTGTTTATATTAAGAGCAGCAATAATGAAATCATTTAGCAGAACTAATCCTTTTAGCAGCAAAACATAAAAATGAAGTCAAAGATTTCTGAACATTAGTTTGCTTACATACAAAAATGAAGGGCTCAAATATACTGGACACCAAAGCAGGCTAAATGTAAGGGTATTTTGTACTTGAGCATAATTTAAGGAGGTAATTCGTCATTCTTGACATGGTAGTAGAGCCCATGGCGAAGTGGAGAAATTCGCATCTCAAAGAAATCTTCGCAGTTGTGCACAGACCCTTTGGCAAACACTGATGTCCAGCAAATCCTAATCCAGTGCGCCTGCTTTCCGCGTACTCCTACTCGAGTAGGGATCGTTGCTTGTCCAGTCCCCATTTACGCGCTGCAGAAAAGTCAGCCTCGTCAACCTCTGTTCCATGTGGTTTGCTGCTTAACATACATGAATTTGTCCAACGCTGCTCCGTTCTGAGATTTGCGAGAAGGTGGGGAAGTCCGCAATCCTCTGACGAGCATTTGGTTGATGAGTGTGGTCGAAACATGTGCAAAATACGAGCTCCGCTGGATTTTTCTTCCTTACCTGGGTTGTCCCAAGCCAACAAACATATTGGTTAAGAGCCTTTTGTTTCATGACAATAAAATTACCTTCTGTTCATTACCATTTTGAGAATAAAATCAAACCCCAAATGTCCAGAATAAGCCTATTAGTAAAAATTTATTTATACAGGGACGTCGACCGAAATAACTGTACACCTTGTTTTCGTTCCACGTATGAATTTTAATGGTAGATTTCGAGGAAAGACGCCTTTGTAACTTGGGTAGAATTTGGGGTGTAGGTGGATGAATGACCCATGCCGTACGGAGTAAACACTATCAATCCTGTACTGGCATGGATATGAATTTCACCGTAAATCATAAGCTTTCGGACTCAGTCGCTGGCTGAAGCTGTTCATGAAGCACAACCATTTATTATCAAATATCTGCATTTTTTCATTAAACTGACTCTCTTAGCAAGATTTTAATTTAGCCGCACTTTTTTCCGCAATTCTGCTTGCAGCTGGTTTGGACGGTATGGCTTTTCAAAATGGCAGCGGTTAAATACGTAGTTTTTCTTACATTTGTAGAGAAAAACAAAAATCCCTGCATTATTGGCGGCAAAAACCATAACACCAATGAGTCATGATATAACTCGTTATGATTTAATCCTATATTCAGTTAGAATCAATAAGCATTCGAGACAGTAAAAAAGGCAACATGCTATTTTTCATATTAAACTATTTGGGGTTTATTAGCCAAAATTTGTAGCGCAAGCTTAGGAATCGATTGTTGAACCTTCATATGCTTCCATTTTTGTCGTTAACTAGACAATGTTCATATTTTTTGAATGATACGCACCACATCAGCACCTGCATCCATACCCATACACCAACCCCTACACATAGATACAGTAGTGGGTTTGCCATCTTCTTCCTCATTGACTAAAATGCACTGAAGACAAATACCAAATACTGATAATCGCTGCTAGTTATTAAACAGCATAAGTGGCATCGTCGAATTTATTATCACAGCACAAGTGTCAGATACAAACACAAACTAGGCCTTTTATATTAACAATTGAACACGCGCGTTAACGTTTCTCAGGACGTAAAACTCCTTGTCCATGGCAAAACTGGGAACCGGTTGCATGTTATTGCACTTGACATGTCTTTGGATAAGAGAAGGAATGTAGCCCTTTTCCTTTATCATTACCGCAAATTGGAGTCGTTATGGTTTACCGACTACATTCGCTCTTATTGCTACGTACACTGGTACTCATACGTGCTAAGATTTATGTGGGTAATGGGTAAGGTGAGATACTTCCGCCAACCTTTGAACATGATGCAGAAAACAGATGCATACCATCGGGGTTTTGTATATCTACGAGCCACATTGTCGTCCCCGATCCAGTATGGACTGCCGCAATATTCAGACCACCGATTTCGCCTGCATCACGGCTTGCCTCTTCTCTCTACTTTCAACTGCTTCTTTCCTCCCAATGTCCTTTTTCAGTCCACCAGCTATGTGGATTTGAGTTAAGTTCCCGTTTGCTAGACCACGCATCATAAGCGTGTTCTGCCATCCCACTCGCAATCCTATCATTTCATATGAAAGTGATGTAGTGCTTGGAGCATGTCAGGGCAGGGAGAAGGAAGAGGAGGGGAAGAAGGAGGACCTAACCCTATCAAATTTTCTCACGGAATTTTAGACGCACTTCTTTGTTGTGTCTCCTTCAGCTGAATTCCTACAAATCCATAGATTAGTCAGAGATGCTATTCACGTTATTTCTAGTAATGTTCTCTACCCTAGTTTATCGAGTGTAATGGCATCTCACGTTGACAATCTTAGCCCTCATTTATAAGAAATTGCAAAAGTACTACCGTAAATAATAAGAAAGGCATCATTTTGACGAATGAACTTCATATGAGACACGCAAAAACTGTTGTCTTCACCATTAGCACTAAAATCACCATCTGTACTGTAGATATTTTAAACATTTTTTACAAAATTATTTGGATACATTATTTTTCTTATATGTCCATGGGAATATTATAAAAACTGCAACACAGGTTGCAGCTGAATTGCCTTGCAAATGGTCCGCGAAATCACCAACATAGGGTTGGCTCACTCTCTTCTTTATGTGGCCCTTAATTTTACTACTATTACTTGTTTTGACCGTCGCTCTATTCAATCTGTGCGTACTGGAATTACTTATCTCCTTACTATAGCTACGAAAATGGAAACGACAGCGGCTAAAATGATCAGTGATTCTGATTCCTTTGTAGAGCCAGTGTACCAGTGCTGACCTTACGATTAATTCACCTGTGAATATCTCTTTGCTACCTTTTCAAAGGCACACTAATACTCTAAAATGCTTCATTCTGGTAGTGGTAATGTCGAAGTGTAGCCTTGCAGTTAGTGGCTGATTCACAACTGGATGATAAAGGTAATTTATGGTGAGCAAATTGAGTTGAAAAGTTAGGGTAAAAGCACATTTATTTACTAAAAGTGGTGAGGCTTAGTTCCTTCGTAAGTGTATTTTAATGGGCTGGCGGCTCGACCGACGGGTGATTGAATACT